AATAATAATAACGATCATAATGATTGTGATGATTATAATGATAATAACAATAATAACCATCATATTAATAGTGGCATTAATGATGATAATAATAATTAATGATAAGTATAGTAATAATAATGATACTACCAATAATAAGAGTAATGGCAATAATAACAAGACAACAATAATGACAACAATGATAATAATAATATTAATGATAATAATAAGAAGATAAAGAAGAGAACTATAAAATAATTCTCTAAAGACACTCCCTTCCACACAGGGCGCACCCCACCCTTACCCTCAGTGTCGAAGCAGCTGAAGTCCAGCATAGGCGTTTTTCGTTGACCTCTTTCCTGGCAATAAATTCCCTCCGTCCGGTCTTGTTCCTTGGCGTTTGTGCTACACGTGGGAAATAAACCACCGGCAGAGCACCATCATATCCGCCATCATGGAGCTTTAGAGCTTTAGCAGAGGAGACCGGAGACTTCTCTATGGAGGAGAGGCCTACGCGTTGGACATTGTATTCGGCTCACCAATATATCATATGAGTATAGAGTTGACAACAGATCATAAGAGTATAGAGTTGACAATAGATCATAAGAGGATAGAGTTGACAATAGATCGCAAGAGTATAGAGTTGACAATAGATCATGAGTATTGACAATAGATCACAAGAGTATAGAGTTGACAATAGATCATGAGTATAGAGTTGACAACAGATCATAAGAGTATAGAGTTGACAACAGATCATAAGAGAGTTGACAACTATAAGAGTATAGAGTTGGATCATAAGAGTATAGAGTTGACAACAGATCATAAGAGTATAGAGTTGACAACAGATCATAAGAGTATAGAGTTGACAACAGATCATAAGAGTATAGAGTTGACAATAGAGAGTATAGAGTTGACAACAGATCATAAGAGTATAGAGTTGACAACAGATCATAAGAGTATAGAGTTGACAATAGATCATAAGAGTAGAGTTGACAATAGATCGTAAGAGTTTAGAGTTGACAATAGATCGCAAGAGTTTAGAGTTGACAATAGATCGTAAGAGTTTAGAGTTGACAATAGATCATAAGAGTAGAGTTGACAATAGATCGCAGGAGTATAGAGTTGACAATAGATCATAAGAGTATAGAGCTGACAACAGATCACAAGAGCATAGAGTTGCCTCGTCTCGTGAGAAGTGGGGAAAACGTAAACGGTAAGATAGCATATAATATGAACAATCTAATGCATAAACTATAACAGCAGAATCTAAGTGTGGATATGGATTTTCCCGCCTCCTTGAAGAAATGCTCGCCCGCATAACAGCGAGCAGAGAAAGGTTCGCTCCCACAAAACTTAAAAAAATAAAAAAATAAATAAAATAAAATAAATAAATAAATAAAAATAACACAAACAAATAATAATAAAAAAATAATATATAAATAAAAATAACATAAACAAATAATAATAATAATAATAATAAAGTAGATAAATACAAAGAGCGGCAGAAAAAATCATAATGATGTTATCATCATCTATAGCAATAATGATATTAATGATGAAATGATGATAACAATAATGATAAGAGTGATAAATAACAGTAATATTAATAGTCGTAATAATAACAATAGAAATGCTAATAGTAATAATACTGATAAGATATAAAGTTTTATCAACAATGATAATAACAACAGTGATATTAACAGCCGTAATAATTACGACGACAATGCTAATGATAACAATAATAATGATAATGATAACAACAATAATAACAATTACTAATAATGATAATGATGAAAATAATAAAAATAACTACGGTGATGATAATAAAAATGATAAGCATAATAATGACAATGATAAAAGTAAAAACGATAACAAAATGTTAATGATGATAATGATAATATTAGTAATAGCAATAATAATGATAGTAATAATAACTATATTAATGATACTGATACTGATACTGATTATGGAAATAATAAAGATTATAATAATAGTAATAATAATAATGATAATGACAATTATGATAATGATAACAATGATAATTACAATGATGATCATGATAACAATGATAATAATAGTGAAAATAACATTAACAATGATAATGATAGTGATAATGATGATGATGTTAATGATAAAAAATAGAAATAATGATAATAATAATAATAACAATACTAATAATGATAAGGATAATAGTGATAATGATAATGATGATGATGATGATAATGATAAAGGTGATGATAATAATAATCATAATGATAATAATAATGACAAGAATAATGATACTGAACATGATAATAGCAATACTAAATATCAAACCTTTTATCACTGATATTGGCATGGCCTTAGCATTATTAGACAGATCTTACAATGGCAGGAACTTGCGGGTTTTGCGCTTGAAAGACAATTCTTTGTGAAAGAAAATGCCATTCCTCCCATTTCGATAGATTCCCTTGCATTTAAGCTTCATCTGTGCACCCATTACTTAAATCTGCTTGTTTTACAGATATATGAGGTACTTTTAAAAGGTATTTAAATATCTGTTTTCCAGGCATTTTGTGCAGGTCGTATGGCTACATCATCGTCCCTCGGCTTTCCCTTGTCTGCATTTTAGGACAGCCTTTTATTGCATAGCAACGGACGTCCCTATGGATGCAGCGCCGGCGGAGTCCCCTTTCAGTGGACAATATATGCAGGCGTTTCGGACTCCTTGGGGTCTTCCATAGAGGAATGAAGTAATGTGAACTTGAATGTGAGATGTGGATTTTACTAGGCTAGCTTTACCAGCAACTACCAAACTTTTATTTTATTTTATTTTAACAACCAAACTTTTTTTTTTTTTTTTTTTTTTTTTTTTTTTTTTTTTACAGACTTTTATTTTATTTTATTTTAACAGCTTATTACTACTGCCTGAAACCATACGAAATCAGTTTCTCTCACATACCTTATCAGCCGTCTTTAGCAGACCTTGCAGCGCACGCCGAGGTCGGCAAGTCCCACGATGGATATACATCAATGCTTATACTACATACTACATATATTATACTATATACTACAGATAAATACTACAATGAGTATACTTCCCTACCAACCGAACAGAGAATCACCATACATATATAAAATATACAAATAAACGCACCCACGCACATATATAACAGGGTACCACGTCTCGGTGAGTCTAATTTCCAATTTTGTGTACCTCCTGCGCTGCAGGGTACGGCCGGCAAAGAGTTTAGCTCTGGAGAAAACTCAGGCAAAGCTGATCTCTCGGAGACGCGGTCTTGTAAAGACTGCGATCAGCCATTCACCTGTAAAGAAGAATGTTCAGATGCCTATCTCCCTTATGTACGGGTGCTGTCTCTCTCCACAGATCCTCTCGACAGAGCGCAGGATAGACGTTGTCATTTGGTCATTTCATGGGTTTGAACTCAGGGACTCCCTTGAGTACCGTCGCGATGTTGCAGGGTAGTGCCATGTACAAGGTCTACAGACTTTACATGCAACAAAGCCATCCTTCTTTCCAGAGTTTAAACGTGGTCACCTGTCGAATGGTGCAGCAGACGCTTCAAAAATCACCACATATCGCAGTCGAGTTCAGTAATTGGCTACACTCGTTATTTATAAATATTGTAAACGTGTTTGTCTTCTTATTGCATACATTACGAACGTGTTGGTTTAAATTAATTTTTACATTTTTATTTTGTCGTTTCTTATTTTGTATAGTAAGAAATGTGTAATATTCAAGTGATGTTTACAAATATCTCAATACGATAGCCAAAATATATATCCTTTGAGACGATGCTTAAAACAAAGTTTAATTTGAGAGAGAAGAGAAGAGAAGAGAGCGAGTGAGGCAGACAGACAGGCAACTAGGCAGGTAGACACAGACAAACAGACGGACACGCAAAACAGGCAGACAGACAGACACTGAAAAAAAAAATAGGCTGGCGGACAAGGAGGAGAGGGGAAGAGCATGGGTTCTTTCTAACATTTATGCACGAGAGAAGTTACTAACATTAATTACCTGAAAGAAATGCATCAGTGATCTGATCAAAAGGACGGATGAATAACAACAATAATCAAAAGTAAGTAGACTCGTTTCCCCTCTGTCATCTGTAAACAAATCCAACCTTTTGCAGCCTTTAAGGTAAGCTAAATTGTTACTCATTTTCATCCATATTCGTTCGAAGGAAGTCTCTACATTCGAAAAAATCGAGGAAAATTGGTAATTAATCAAATGAATAAGGAAAAATCGAACTTTAAAACTGGTGTTGAGAAGTAAGGTTTGGAACACTCACTCATTGATCGCTTCAAAGCTGGAAAGTCAGGTGAGCGATCTTTTTCTTTTTTTTCTTTTTTTCCTCAAGGAGTGTAATTTAAGATTAGTGTGAGGACGTGTGAGGGTTTGATCACGCATGAGGTAGGTGTGAGATATGAGATGCTGAAGGTGAAATAAGGAAGAAGGAAAGAAATAGGTTTTTACCTTGGTGTTTTGTGGGTTTCGTTCTCGTCTTTGATTTTAAGGGGAATCTTTGTTTTGTGGATATTTATGATTTAGAGGAATAGGTCATTTAAATTTCTATGATATTTGGGTGCAATATGTGATTGTCTTATTTATTGTTGTTCATCTAAGGTAAACTGTTACATTTATGGGTTGCCTTTTACATTTTGGTAATAGGCTGACTGTTTATAGCTTTTATAGTGCCAAGTAGATATGATTGTTACTGATAGGCTCACTGTTTATAGGTTTATAGTGCTTAGTAGATATGATTGTTACTGAAGCTGAATTTTACTAGCACAGAAATTATACCAGGAAAACAATTTGGATAACTAAATGAAAGAAAATTGAAAGTAATAACAAATTCTTCAGCAGTGGGAAAAAGTAGTTAGTTTTTTGCCTTATCTTGATTTTTTGATTTGATATTTTCGAAAACTACACATGGGCAAGTAAAGAATGCTTAAAAAATGGTTAATGGTATTCAGAAAAAAAGAAAAGAAATAAGAAGTAATTTGAAATGGATAAA